TGGTGCCTCTGCCCAATATGTGCCAGTTTTCACAACATTTTCAATGAATGAGTGAAGAGAAGGTAAATCTATCAGTGTTTACCCAGACATCTCCACTGGTGTAGGTGTGCATGTGCCTTACAGCACTTGCTGCAGTATCCACTATAACGTTACACAAACTTGCAACGTAAATTCCTACGGGGTTACAACACCCACAGACACCCCTGTGTCTGCTGGGTTAGCAAGTATTTTTTTTTTAGGAAGAACTTGCTAAATCCTGCATCTGTGGCCAGTTGTCTTTCTGCTGTGTATCCACCCCCACCCATGCTGCACAAGCCCATGAATGTCCACGTCTCCCTCTGCCTCTGTCCTCTGTCCCAGCTGCTATGTGCTCTGGGGTGTCCCACCCAGATACATACGTACATACAGCGTCCCCTTGGTGGGAGCATGTCCTGGTACACTGGGGTGCTGCTGTCACGTGGGACATCCTGACCACCCCAAAAACACACCAGAAGCCCCCTGAGCTGCAGCCTCCCTTTGGTAGTACCTGCATCCTCTGAGCACCAAGAGCACTCTTGAGGATGTTTAAGGACTATCCTTGACACATCTTTTTTTCCCCTCCCCTAATGGCAGGCTGCCATTAGTCCTGCCAGCCCAAGTCTTGGAGCTCAAGCGTGAAAACAAACCAAAGACTGAAAAAACCTTCCTTTCCTTCATAGCTCTTCTGTGGGTGCTGCTGCAGTAGCTCCACTGTCAGCCCCAAACCCCTTCTGCTGCACTCTCCTTCCTCCCTCTGCACAGCCTGAGGGACAATGGCCAGGGTCAGACAGGGCTGCTCTGATGCTGTTTAACGGGCGAGTGAAGCGAACATCACTATTGGCCGTGTTCAGCCTGGAAGGGGGAACCTGGCTCGCAACCAGTGGAAACTGGTAACACAGGGAGATTAAGGATTAGAGAAAAATAAATGGGGGGCAGGGTGTGAAATAGCACTCTATATCTTCTTTGCATGTTTTGCCTTTCCCTCCCCCGGCGTGACTGGGGATTCTCACACTGCTCCCCACCTCCTTGTAAGTGCCCCACCAGAGTCCCGGGGGTACCTCCTGCCTGGGATCTTCTTCTAGCCTACCCACACGGCCTGAGATTGTCCACAGTCCTCCCACAAGCTGCCCAGGACACACCAGCTCTTCACACCCCAGGATGTCTCACCCTCCCGTGCCCACCTGTGAACAACACAGAACCCTCCCCCCTCCTCCAAGTGGGAAATCCTGACTTGAACCTGGTGTTTTCTTGAATTAACCATCACACAGAGATCAAAACAAAGAGCTGCCAACCAGGCAAGCACCTTTGGTGACTAGTGAAACAGCAGTGAGATAGGTCCCTTGTACCAGTCCCAGTCCCTGCGTTCTTCCCCCGTATGCCACCACCCCCCCCGCCCAGGGAAACCCCATGCTGACAATCCCACAGGGATGTCCTGCAATGCTGCTGGACCATATTTTGGACAATTCATCGCGGTAATCTCCACTATAGCCACTGATCTGATTTGTCTGGGAATAGCATCTGCTGCTCAGTATCATTCTGTATTCATTTACATTTGCCCAGAGACAGCACAGGGGTTGGTTGTTGTTGTGGGTTTTTTTAAACAAAATACAAACATAATTAAATGAATTAATTTATCCTCCTGTTTCTCCCAAACAAGATTAGTTGAGAATCACTCTACTCAGGTCTGACTGCCTACCACATTTTTAAAGGATATTGTCTGAGCTCTTATTTCCTGAGCATGTGCACCAGAGCTCTCCTGTGTTTCAGAACAAAGAACAAATTCTCTTTGTTGTCCCGTAACAGTGTGAATGCAAGCAATGGACAAGACCGAGAGATGGTCCCTGCCTTATTTAGCTTACCCTGAGTTTTGCCTGGTTCCAGCTGCTCAGAGACATGTGGGATTTTGTTTCGGTAGGCAGGGCTATGCTGAGAAAAGACAGGATTGTTCCTTTCTCCAAATCCCATGAAGACAGCAAAGGGGAAATCACAACATAGGTTTTGAGCCTGCTTTCTGGCTTTGGGTCTGTACCAGAATCACGCTGGGATCCATTCAAACCACTAGTCTAAGCTGCCTCGTCTTCATTGCTATTTAATTTGGGTCAGGCAAATGCAGTTAAGAGCACATCCCTTCTTTTTCTTTTCAGCTAAGAGGTGGCCTGTGTTCCCCAAGCGCCAAGCAGAGAACCCTGCAGTTCGTAGAGCTTGTGGTGCTTACTTGTCAGCAGCAGAAATAGTTGGACATGAGCAAATATTGGAAAGAGTAACAGTGGGCAGAGCCTGGGCAGCTGCCCTTGCACCCTCTGTAATACCTTTACTACCAACTGGTGCCTGGGGAATTCACACACCACATACCGAAACTCTGGGGAGAGCATGGGAACAGAACTGCTGGGGAGCAGGCTGCTCTCCAGGATTTGCCTGTTTGATCACAAAAGAGATGTCAGGGCTGGGCACTGAACATATGACAGCACTTTCTATTTCTGTCCTTTAGTATTGTAACACAGGTTTAGAATAAAAACATCTCCCTTGATTTAATTTAAAACAGGATAAAGGAAATAGAAAAAAAAAAAACAAAACAAAACAAAAACCCAGCAAGAGCCTGTTTCATTGCAGATGTGGAATCTGAACACAGGCAGGGCGTTCAGGAATTAAAATTCACTGAGTTATTTCAGTATCAGTCTGTGCTTGGGCAAAGCCCCTATCCAAAACCGGGGCCAGCCTGAGCAGCGCGTGCTATGGGAACCCCTGCCACAACAGGCACTAACGCCAGCCGCTGGTGGCTTTTTCAGGGACTACCATTAGTCACACAGACCATCAGGGTTAACATCACAGCCTGCGTGCCAGAACCAGCATGTGGTGCTACATCAGCTCTCCCCTGAATGAGAGGCTGCCTTTCCTCCTGCCCTGTCTCTTCCCACTCTACATGCTGCTGCTTCCACTTAGGCACTGGGAAGGGGTTGGAGCTTGTAAAGAGCTTCAGGCGGAGGCTGGGGTGAGGGTCACTGTCCCATGACCTGAGAAAAGGTCCCTGTCACTGAGTTAAGTAGGTCTGCAGTGCATCAGCGCTGCGCCTTGAAGACCTCCACCATGATGCTAGAAGAGGGAGCGATACAGCTTGCTGTGCTGGGGCTCATTTACTCACTTCTTGTAGGAAAACTATTACAGCTGCTCTGGTGCACTTCTGCATTAAAGCAGCTTTGTAGTTAATTGTCATTTGAACTAGAGCGTAAACAGTTAGAAAGATTTTTCTTGATTAAAATGTTGTCAGTGATGGGAAATGCAACAGAGCTCTGACAAAACAGTTCCAGTGATCGCCTTGTTGTTAAAGTCCCTTTTCTAATGGGAATGCTTTATACACTTTACATCAACCCTTCACTCCATTTTGCCTTTGCCAGCTAGAAGAGCCTAGTAACAAAGTTTAATTGCTGCAACAAGCTAGCTATAGTAGTCTCTTAATTTTCTGTTAAGCTAAGTTATCCAGCCAGACCCAGAGAAAGATTCAGCCGCAACCAGCTGCTGCTGCAGATGTTTAACTGCAAGCTCCAACACCGAAATCCAGGAACCAATGCTCCCTGTGGCACTGTTTAAACCTTCACCGGAGCTGCCCAAGTGGCCACCAGGAATGACAAAGCACAGAGGAGTGAGGTCCCCTCTTTCTGCAGACATACGGTACCTGACCCAGCCAGCCAAGGAAGCACAGTATCCAAATTTACTCCTGGTTGCTCCAAGGGTATAATCCTTGGGTATGCCCCAAGAGACATAATCTTTTCACATCTAAATTATCCTGCAGCCACTTCCCTCACACACTATAACCTCTGGTTGGGGTATTCACAGAGGAAGGTGGACTCCCCGTTTAAGTCCTTTCTTACCCTGATGGTTATCAAGGAAGTTCACCCTCTGAAGAGGAGCCCTGCCCCCCCCCCACCATGAGCCAGGAATAAAGACAGGAGAGGTGCACGGCACCTGCTCAACATTTTCTTGTCGATACTTTCTCACTGTGTACCAAGAAAAGAAAACTTTGTTGGGTCAGAGGCAAGAGGGCGCACAGTCAAGAGATAGGTACTCACTTGGGAAGCAGGTCTCTGCTCTGCTGCCAGGGGTTCTTATCTTTTTGGCATCACACATAAATTGACAAAAATTCAGCCATGGTTTTAAGAGCAAGACCAGACTTTAGGAGACCTCCTTCTTGTGAGTGTCCTGACTCATTAGGTTTAATTTCTTCTTCCTTAGCCTCCCTCTGTCCCATTGCCCAGCTCCAGCGGGAAGCATGCAGAGGGTTCCTCACCTGGATGAACCACACCATGTTGGTGATGGCACTTCCCAAGGAATGCAAGAAAGGTTCCAAACGCCCCAACAAATGGAGTTGGGTCTGGGGCTCCCAACCCTGATTCAGCCAAACTAGCCCACAGGGAGAAGCACATACTGTGGCATTTCATGAGGTATCTGCTCCTGCTGAGTTAGACGTGGCTGGGACACGTTTCTCTAGAGGGGCCTTTGGGGACCTGGGGCTCATCTACTCAACTTCTGGCTGGCACAGAGGCTTACACAGCGGTTTGCACTTGGTGCTCAAGCCAGAGAGGCAGTACACTTCAGCAGAACAGAGGTTCCACGGCTGGTAAATGGACTTCCACAGCAGTTTCCAGTGGCCTCCATGCAAGGGGAGGAAACAAGATTTTGGACTGAGAATCTAGCGTAAATGCTCAAAAACTCACAACTTCACCTGGAGCTCCCCACTGTTCCTGACTTTCCTCCTTGAGCCGCAGATACCAAAACCAGGCACACCATTGGAAACAACAGCTGTCACACCATCATCAAACAGAGCTGACATAGAAACAGCCCTATTTCTGACTCTGGCCGAACATTTCTACCAACAACAGGGAACACTCATCCCCAGAGCTGCCAGTGGAAGACTTTGCAGCACTGAAAGTGGCACACAAAGGAAAGAAACCTTCACCAGACACATAAATGGAGAAAGATGCACTTACCCACTTGTTCCAGGTCTCTGGGTCTGAGAGAAGCGCCAGTCTGTGTTAGGCTGAGCTTGCTGCAGAGAAAATAGAAGAGTTTTAATACCTCTATTTTTGCCTTTGAAAATGAAAGTGAACTGATCCTGGATTATTTCAGTCTGGAATATCAGCGTGTTCTTTCCAAGTAAAGAAAATCAATTAGAACAAAAGGAAAGCTTCCCACACACACACACACACACAATTTTTCCTGAGTATTTCTGAACCAGCATGAATACCAAAAAAGCATGACAAAAACTATTCAGCGAATAATCTTCCAAAGCAGCTCAGGAAACCAGGCTGTGAAAGAAATGAAGCATGAAATAAACTGATAAGGGCATCAATTGAGCAGGAGGAATAGTACCAAAGTAATGAGCTTGGAGGAGTGAGGGGGTGGGGGTGGCAGAGTTAATTGAAACTGAGAAAGATGCTCTTAATGCCAGAAGGTAAAATGATAACAGACCTTCCTAATCTGTCCTTCTTCTGTCCTGAAAAAGGCCTGCCTGAGATCTTGATTTCACACATTGTATTTGAATGACTTTTCCTAGATGCTGTGGCCTCAGACCATTACAATATTTTTCTGTCCACAGAGAAAAGAATAAACTTCCGACAGCAAAAGAAAAAAAGCATTATTTGTTTAGGAGACACAATAAACTTCAGACACAGCAGCACACTTTGTAACTTCATTAGGAAGCCCTCATATCGCTTTTTGCCCGTGTTATTTTACCAGCAGACAATGGACACTCTGTGAATGAGGAAGGACGAGAAGCAGGCTTGTATATTCCTGTTTGAATCACGCCTTTGTGAAGGGCACTAAATAGCAGAACTGTTTTCTGTCTGGAAGACACATACTTCCGAAAAATCATAATGCTCTTAATTAACTCCAGAATGATAACATGCTACCTGGAAAGGACAACATTTCCCTTAGTTACCTTAGAAATCAGCAGTTTATAGTCCATACAGTGGAACATCGCTTTTATAGGATTATTCTGCTTGTACATGCAATTACTAAGGAAAAGTGAAGACGGGTACAGCTGACCTAGATTTTTATTTAGTAGATGTGATTTCACTAATTTCTCCACAGCTTTGATGATTCTCATGAAAGAATATATTAGAATAAATTACTCCCCTAAAATAGAGTCCCCACTGCTACCCATGCTGCATGCAAATTAAGCTGCTTAAATACTGGCCCTCCAGATTTCAGATACACATTTTTGCACACGCTGACACACAATCCTGCACTAGATAAGCCCTTCCCAATCTATATTTTGAATTCCTGTTGTAATTACCACTTTCAAATTTAGGTCAGGCATTTATGACACAAAATTACTTTACTTTTTATATCCCAAAGTTATAAAAGCTAACAGCTAAATATAGTCACCTACATCCATATTTAGACATCTGAATAGAAATGGCTAAAGTTTTCAAAGCACGCCGCTGCCTAGGTCTCTGCAAGCCCAAGGGCACATAAGGTCACGAGGATCTTTGTGAAAAATGTCACTACATTCAGTGCTGAAGAGTGAACTCAGCCCCTCACTGGAAACAACCAAGCTGGAAAATGATCCCTTGCCGGGACACAATCAGTAATTAATAACACTTGGGGAGTCAAGAAATGAGAAATTCCTACAATGCACCTCTAACACAGAGCAAAAGAAACACCGACAAACTTTGCTTTCAGACAACCTCCCGTGTCGTGGTTCATATGCCATGCAGAATAAAGGGGTTAAACAGAAAATTGAGAAGTTAAACACCCAAAAAACATGTTCCTGACCACACTAAGAATCACTTTTTAAAAAAAAGAGTACGAACGGGGCCAAAGGAAAACTCTCCACTTCTACAAACACACAGTCTTTGATTTTGCAGTGATGCCCAGCCCCTTCCCCCATCTCCACCAAGCTGAGCCAAAGATTTCACCTGCCACCTCCCAGGAGGTGACAGTGACACACATTCCCTGAAGCCACTTTCTTAGGTGGAAGGACAGCCAGAGAACCGCCACCTAGCCCAGATATCACGGACCGTTGCGCTTAGCAGACAGGACAGTAACAAACACCCATCTCTTACCCCATCGCAGGGACTCGCTAAGGTGCTGGTCACCTGCTCATAGGCAGCCACGGTCTCCGCAGTGCTAGAATGGCTGAAAGGTTTTACAAAGAGGAAATCGCTCTGGTCAGACATGGGCGAAAAACAAGAGGTGTAATTCTGTGCCTGGGAGGTCAAGCCCGCTCCTCCCACGTCCAGGTACTTGATGAAGCCATCTGACTTCATCTGCCCACGGAAATGGGAGGCGGGCTTGCGGCCAGTCCCTCGGCAGCAACCCACAAAGGTCCAGCTGGCAGCACCAGCTTTTAGACACCGGGCAGCCACCACAGCAAACATCACGCAGGACACGAGGGAAATGGACACAAGGGAGATGATGAGGTAAAGCGTTAGGTTGGTATCCTTGGGAGAAGATTTGGGGAGATCCAAGGACTTGGCAAAGTCCTGCATGCTGTTTTCCTCTGGAGAAATTAATATTACCACCGAGGCTGAGAGGGACGGTGTTCCATTGTCCCTAACTTCTACCACCAGCCTGTGGGGATCTTCTGACTCCCTGAGAGCCTGTGCAACCCTTATCTCTCCAGAGCGGCGTTCCACTTGGAAAGGAAAAGCCTCAGCGGTCTCCTGCAGCTGGTAGGACAGCCAGGCATTATGGCCACTATCGGCATCAACGGCTACAATTTTTGTGACCAGATAGCCGGGTTCTGCCAAGGCTGGGATGGTTTGGTGGAAGGCAGAGCCCTTGGGGACAGATGGATAGACAATAGTGGGAGCATTGTCATTCTCATCCAGGACAAACACATGGACCACAGCAGTACTACTCAGTGCAGGAGACCCAGCATCCTTCACCTCCACAGGCACCTGAAACACCTTATCCTGCTCATAGTCCAGAGCTCTCACAGTGTAGATGGTGCCATTGTCCTGGTCTATTCGGAAGTAGGTTGAGATGGGTACATCCTGCATCCCATTGTGCAGGATAGAGTAAGACAACTTAGCGTTGCTGCCCTCATCGGGATCAGATGCTGACACTGAAAAAACAGAAGTTCCAGGAAGGGAGTTTTCCTGAACGTGAGCTGTATCAAAAGGGCTGGAGAAATTTGGTGCATTATCATTCACGTCAGCAATTCGGAGGTAAAAGGTTTTTTGTGTGGCCCTCTGTGGGGACCCTGAATCCACAGCCCTCACCGTGATGTTGTATCCACTGGCCTTCTCCCGATCAAGGGGACCATTTGTGACCAGTGAGAAATGCTCTTTAAAAGACGACACCAATTTGAACGGGAGCTCTTTTGCTATCTGCAGACGGACCTGCCCATTGTCGCCAGAATCGCTATCCTTCACACCAATGAGGGCAATCACAGTGCCTGGGGTTGCATCCTCCTGCACTGGGCTGGAGAGAGAGGTCAGCACGATCTCTGGGCTGTTATCGTTGATATCGATTAATTCCACTCGCAGGTGACAGTGTCCTTCCATGGCTGGGGATCCCTTGTCCCTGGCTCGAACCGCAATCTCATAAGCACTGGATTCCTCATAATCCAGTGGGCCTTTGGTTCTGATCTCCCCTGTTCGGGGATCTAAGGAGAACAGCTTGGTGAATTTAGCAGGTGCGTTATTGCTAATTTTGAAGGAATATTCCACGTCCCCGTTGGGACCTTCATCCAGATCAGTGACATTCAACTTGGTGACCAGAGTGCCCACTGGCACGTTCTCCTCCATATATACCTTGGATATGGGTGGGTCGCAGACAGGAGGGTTGTCATTTGCATCCAGGACATGGATGGTAACCTTGGCAGTGCCAGATTTCACGGGATTCCCTCCATCCAGTGCTGTCAGGGTTAGGTGATGAACAGCCACTTTCTCTCTATCCAGTGCTTTTTCAAGTATGATCTCAGGCATTTTAACACCATCTCCTCTCACATTGATACTCAGGGCGAAATGCTCGCTGGGGCTGAGCTCGTAGGTGGAGATGGAGTTGGAGCCCATATCCGGGTCTTCTGCTACCTCCAAGGGTAGCCGAGTCCCAGGGTTGGCTACCTCAGTGATCTCCAAGACCACCTCCGGCTTGGGGAACTGGGGCGCGTTGTCATTCACGTCGAGGACATCCACCTCAACCCGATGGAGCTGGAGGGGATTCTCCATGACGAGCTGAAGGTGTAGGGAGCACGTGAGGCTCTGCCCACACAGTGCCTCCCGGTCCAGCCTGCTATCGAGGAGCAGCACACCTGCTGCCAGGTCCACCTGGAAGTGCCGCTGCCCACCCTCGCTCACCAGGCGCAGGTTGCGGGCGGCCAGGCTCCGCACCTCCACCCCCAGGTCCTTGGCCAGGTCGCCCACCGAGGAGCCCGGCTCTCGGTCCTCGGGCACGGAGTAGCGAAGCTGGGCGCTGCTGGGAGCCGGCAGGCAGGAGAAGGCTGCGAGCAGCAGCGGGAGCTGCCATGGCAAACTCCGTCCCCCGAGCATCCCGTACCGGGTATACGAACGGAGCAACGCGGAGCGGCGCGGAGCGGCGGCGGCTCCGCGCAGCCTCCCCCGCCTCCC